CTGCAGCTGACTTTGCTCCAGTCCGGGCAGTCTGGGCAGCTCACTTCGTCCTGGGCCATTGAGACTTGAACCCTTGAACTCAGCCGATTTGGAAACCGATGGACACCAACGTTTTGCGATGGGCGTTACATTGGTTTAAAGGGTTCCGGGCTCTAATTGAAGCCTTTCGAGAATATCCCACTATATGCAAATGCACATGGGAGGGGACTACTAGCTGCTGAGACTGGGAAGTAAGCCGCTGGACCTGAAGATGTTTCCAGGTTTTGGGGATACGGGGTTATGTTGGACCATCAGGAACCTTAAAAGTGCTTAGGCTTAAGCTTGCACTAGGATTTCTGTTGAAATTTGTTGGGGCTCCTCCAGCCTTGTAGAGGCAACGACAGGGCGGGCATACGACAGGAATATCCTCGGTAGCGAAGCCACAAATGCTGCAAGTTCGACCAGTTTAAATCCCTGTGACTGGACTCCAGGTATACAGGTGGTATATACCTACTTTGGGTTCTAAAGTCTATAACTAGTAATCAGTACCACTTTTGGGCTACTTGGGAATTTCCGAAAATGGGGGGACCCTAATGTGGTACCTTAAATAATAGGATCCCTATAATAAGGACCCCAAAATAAGGTTCCCTAATATTCGGAAATGCACAGTTGGAGTCTCAGGGCCTCGTCACTGGAGGAACAAGCTCAGCCTCCCTTGCCAATGAGCTGGCACTCGAGTGGCGTAATTTTTGGGGCCTTAATAATTAGAATAGGGTTCCCTTTAAAGCGTTCCTTAAATTGCCAGCGAATTATCAACCCCTACCTCCGGCAAAAGCAGTTTAAAGAGGCTTTGTAAACAGTTCTCGACTCACCTGATCGAGCCAGGATTTTTTTGAGCGAACCTGTTATTAAAAACTAACGATTTTTTTGAACCGAAAAAGATTTTGACAAAACCTATTTTAAATCACAATTGCTCAAGAAGCGAGAGTTTTATAAAAACCGAAAAGATTGTGAAACCGCTGCGAATTCAAAGGTTCCTCAATTAAAAATCTACCCATTTCCAAAACACTTGGGCGATAATTGAAAATCTCAGGGTGGGGGTGGGGGGTGTAAGTTGGCCGATTAAAGGGATCTAGATTAAGGTTCTACGCTATAGTGGCCTTAATAATTGGAATAGGGTTTTGGGGTCCATGATAGCCTAACTATAATAAGGAGCACCCAAAACAGTATTGTGAACCTCGCCATCGACTGATAACCGCTCGGAAGACAAGACCTTCAGCCGGAAGACTGCGCGACAAGCCCCGAAGCATCCACTTAGAGGGCTCGCCTTCGGTGGTCGCGTGTGCTCTCACCGAGATTCTAGCCACTCGAAGTCGAAGTCCGGCATCGGCATCCAGGCTCTAATACCCGGTTAAAATGCCCTGAACACTAAGCCCCGACCTTTAGGGGCCAAGTTCTCCAATGTATACTTGTTATGTCCGTATGATACACACATGTCCTTATCCCAGGCCCAAATTTTATGTGCGCCCTGCAGCCCGGAGAGACTGTCTGTCCTTTGAAGGTGCGTATCCGGCACACTCTGGACACCAGTCCTGACATATCCCGGTCACGTATTACGACGATTACTCCTGTTTGCTTTTATTCCCAGCATTAGTGTGTCTTTTTGGTTTTCAGCTCAGGATGCTAAACTTCATGCGTTTGTTTCGCATCTTGGGGTCTCTGCAGTGGGGCTCCAGCTCTTGGGGGGTGTCAGGGGACCGGACACCCCAGTGCTCAGGAGTTTCCGAAAATAGGGGACCCTAATGTAGTATCCTAAATAGTAGGATCCTTATTAAAAGGACCCCAACATAAGGTACCCCTAATTCCCTAATTTTCGGAAACTCCCACATAGAAACACGGCTTGCAAAAGCATATGGCATTTGTTCTCTACAGTTTGGTTTTGCTTTCTGGCCAATCAGTGCCTGCGGCTTTGTTCTGAAGGCTCTTGTTGTTACTTGTTGTTCTTGGGTTGACGATCGTGTACAGAAATTCGGCGACTTGCTTCTTCGCAGTATATCACGGATAGGCAAGGCCTACGTACATATAACAGAAAGCTTTAAAGCAGCACCGATTTCGACCTTTTGAGATTCTTGGCGGCATGATAGGTTTCACAGCGCGCATGACAAACACGCGTTGTCATGATCAAAAGGGACGGGGCCCGAAAGTACAACTTTAAAGTAGCAAGACCTTGCTGACAGTAGTAAACAACCCTAAACAATACTAGGCCCCGAAGACCCTGAATAATCAAGGGAAGCAGCAACTCATTTAAAGATTGCTCGGGACGGCGGCGAGCAGGGGATTCAAGGTCCAAGATTCTCAACATATTTGGATTCTGCTGTTGAGCTCTGAAAGGTTTAAACTTTCTCAACTCGCACAAGGTAGGCAAGACTGACGACGAGCCAGCTTAATTCGCATTCCAAACACCCTGTCGTTTGCACTAGTGAACCTAAGCTGGTCTACAAAGTCGAATAGACGACCCTGCAACACCCTATATAGAGACCCCGAAGCCCTAAACCGATGACCCTGGCGCATGTGCGGCCTTTTGGCAGTCTTGGCAGGACAGGGCGTCTTTGCAGACGCCCGTGTAGTGGACCTGCGAGAGAAGCCCGGCAAACTTTCAGGGTGATTCCGGTATCATGGATTGGGAGTCTCCCGTCAGTAACCGGGGTGTGGGATATTTCGGAAATCGAGATGTCACCTTTCAGACTTGCAAGAATTACGTGTGCGTTTGGGACGGAATAGAGAAATCGGAGGTCTGCACGGCACTGTCCAGCTGCGAATTCAGATTGCCAAGGGTCTAGCAGAGAGCATGATGTGCAACCTTACACAGTCGACAGCACTTTGAGGTTCATGGGTAGTTATAAGTGGGGTTATAAGCAGGGTAACTATACTTAAAACCCCCTTATGGGACTTACAACCACTTATAACTACCCGTGAACCTCCAAGCAGCATCATGCATCCGGTGAGCCGTGAGAGGCTCCCAACACGAAACACATGCTTCAGGACCAACGCACGCGGTGCTGCGCCTGCCGACTGATCATATATACACACAGACACACAAAGACAGGTATAACACCTACAGAGAAAGAGAGGGCGAGAAATAGAGAGAGCCTGTTGCAGTTTTGGGGTTTTGCGTTTCAGTCGAGGTATAAATTGGAGTACTGGAGTACTGGAAGCCTACTTCTCATGCTGGCCATGCTTCCCTTCCGGCTTTTCTGAAATTTCAAAGATGAGGGATACCAAACACCAATCAAATGGTTCCAACTTTCTGGAAAAGGGGGGTCGAAACTTCTCCTCGGTAGGTTTTTGTATATGGACTATCCTGTCCAAGAGTCTAATGTAGGGGCCTTAATAATTAGAATAGGGTCTTGGGCCCATTATACTATAGTTATTCCAAGGAACCCTGAAAATAGTATAGGTAATTGTTGAGGCTGCCATATTACATGATGGTGCCCCCCAGCTTCGGACTCTGAAGGCACAAACGGGGTTTCCAGCTTAGGTGGGGCCCCTGAAGTTTGTTTGTATCTCTGTCTCAGAAGATCAAGAGTTATACAGGGACCGTATCGCGAGTCACTAGCAATAGTCTGCATGCAAATGCTTGACATAAACCACTTATTGTAACAACAAAAATAATACCAATACTAATAATAATAATCAAAAAAATACTACTCATACGAATAATACTAACACTATAAAAGTAATAGCCAATCTTGTTATGTAGAATAATAACCATACTTATACTAATAATAGCAATCATGTGCAATTTAATAGAGCTATTAGGGCTTTCGGTGCGCCTTGCACTCGCAACACGTCGAGTAGCTCTCTTCCTCGCTTGCAAAAGGCGTAGCACTATGGGCTATTAGACCCTAAAGATCCCTATTAGGACCCTATTAAGGGTTTAGGGTTTAGGGTTTTGGGTTTAGGGTTCAGGGTTTAGGGTTAAGGGTTTAGGGTTCTAGATCAAGGTACCCTTAAGGTCTAATAGCCCATAGTGGTAGCAGGGCTTTCGGGGCGTTCAAAAATCGGCGTTGCTTTTTGACATCTACCCAGAGGCTCCATAGTAGTTCCTTTCTTGGGGATTAGCTTATAGGATTCTAAATATGAACCCCCAAAAGGAACTACTATGGAGCCTTCGGGTAGCGTCTAGGGTTTGAGAGACACGTGTCTCTCCATAGCCATAGCCCTATTTGCGGATTCTGCTGAGGCTAGCGGCTAGCATCCTCCCTGCGCTACAGGCTCGGAGAGATGTCCAGCTCATACTCCCCGAAGCTCCAAGCCGAAATTACGATGCACTGACCCAAAATGGCAAAGGCCGTCCAAAGACAAGTTACAACCATGCAGCCGGTTTCCGAATACTAGATGATTAAAGAATGTTAAAGATAATTACTAGATGGGAAGTAGGGTAGGGACTACACTGCACTGAACAAACATGTCTCCAACCTCATGACCTCTTTCGCAAAATGCTCGTGACCCTGGATGTCCTGCAGCTCCATCACGAAGCCTTGCAGGAGGCCAACATAAGGCTTTGCCGGGCCACCCTTCTCCTGCACGCTTGAACGGAGGTAGCCCCAATTCAGCTCTGCACAGGCAGGCTTCTCATCTTTGGAATATTCATGCGAGGGGAGCCCTGCGCCCGTTGTCGGTATCCGGCAAACTCAAGCAAGACTGGGGGGGGGGGACCGGTCGAGATTTGTATGCAGCTTTTTTGTTGCTATCGGCGTCCTCGGTGCCGAAGCCTCCGGATCTCAATACCGTAACGATAAACGATGTCGAGAGAACTTGCAGATGCAGGCAAGGGATCAGGATATCACTTCGAGGGTCTAGGCTTCGCAGAAAAGTAATGAGGCTGCCAGGAGCCTAGCTTTTAAGATCTTGTTCACACCCACATGCCATAAGTATCTGTGATTCTTGCAGGAAAGGTAACCAAGGAGCATCTCCGGTATACGCGCGCACCTCTGGACCCCGAACCAGAAAGTATGAACCTATTGCGCAGGTGTCTCCGGCCAAATCACGTCGTCCACGTCCCAGCCATAAAAGTTCTGGAGGCAATCCTGGAAAAGACTCAGAAAACAAACACACACGCACACACAGACAGTGTCACATCGTACCAGACAGACATAGTGTGCATGGTGATGGACGTATAACACGAGACCCTAAACGTGTCAGCAATTTGATCACAATATGTGTAAGCATATGATGGCCCGTGATCGTCTACATACGATGGCGGCAATGCAGAACATTTCAAGCCATCCGTTGTGGTGTGAAACGTGGTTATATACGTACATTAACAGTACTAAGTACTGCAGTAGGCCGAGCGATGCACAGACTCCTGGTGCCAATCTTTCCTGCGGCGTATGCCTCGACCCCAGGAATACATCCTCAGGAAGAACATCCCACGACATACATACATGCTAACAGCAACTAGACGAAGTCAAACAACCGCCAGCACCACACCACAACCACCACCACCACCACCACCACCAACTGTGATTTACGCGGTGCACGGGTATGACAATGCAAGCGACTAATCAAAATGACAATGGCACCTGTTTTAGTGGCGTTGGTGGTGCTGGTGCTGGTGCTGGTGCTGGTAGCAGTGCGGTTGTTTGTAATCTATATACTCTCACATTTTCACTATAATAAGGAGGCTACGACAGCGCACTGTCCAATGCGCGCGCGATGTAGGCTTGGCGCAGCGTGTCCCATGTCTGCAGCTGGTCCTGCACCAAAGCCAATATCGCATGGGTTCAGGGTTGAGCTTAAAGTACCACATTCGACAAACGCACTGGAAGTTGAAAGTTGCGGGGCATGGCGGCTTGCGTGCTTGGATCCTTAAGTGGGATCTTGCTTTGGATATATTGTATTACATTACTTAACACAGTTAATAATATACTATAGTATCCCTCAATATGTATAATATATATATATATATATATATATATATGTATATGTATATGTATATATATATATATATATATATATATATATATATATATATATTTAGTATATATTCTATGTGTACATATACAAAAAATAATGGCTTTATGAATTTCTGAAGGTTGAGGCTAAGGGCTGGTGTGCTGGACAGCTGCAGCTTCGTCGGTAGGGGCAGCTCCAGACTCCGAAAGGAATATAGGGACCTTTGTCTAGTCATTAATTATAGGGTCCATTATACTATACTTGAAATAAGGAACACAAGAGTAATATAATATAGGTAAATGTTAAGGACACTATACTACCGAGCTTCGCCCACCTCTCAACCATCTCTGCGTGGAGCCACATACAAGTTCGTCAAGCTCTCCGTGTGGTTGAATGCAGGAGCACTGTTGAAGGTATCTAGCCCCTGATACAAAGTCCCAGCTGTGTAACCTCTCCACATATTGAAGACAAGGCATTCGCGGCGAAATATAGGATCATTGAAGGCATTTGTAAAACCGCAATGCGCGGTACAGCGGCACACCTAACATGGCTGTATTCGCGTCTCCTGACTCCTGACGCTGAAATTCTCTGCCAGGCGCAATCCCTGAAGCCCTTTAAACGAAGTGTTCCAGGAAATGGTTGCCCTGCACGCCGACGAGTCGTGAAACCTTGGCCCTCCACCGGCTCTCCGCCCAGGCGGTCCGGCAAGGTCCGCCATTTCAAGCACACGGTTTCTGCCATCGCAAGCTCCTCGGGATTGGGAGTCGCGGGGTGGCGGGAATTCGTAGATCCGATGCGGCATATGGCTTTGGGACTGGACTTCCTTGCAGCAAACCTACCCGGGTCCAAAATCCGACAGGTCCCGAGACCAAAAACATCACCATTTTGAAGCCGTACACAAGCCTTTAAGCCCTTCAACCCGTCGCGCTACCTAAGCCTAAAACCCAGATGTCCTAGACAACCCTTCGAGCCTTGTGAACACTAACAGCCAACTGTAACAATCAACCAAGCAGGAGTCCTTGCCGTCTAAGTAGGGCATGATGCAGGTCACAGCGCCCTCCATACTTTTCGGAAAGCGCTAGGTGTCTGCACAATAAAGTCGGAGCCCCGTGGTTGGTCACCAGTTCAGCGTCTCATTGAAGTTTTCAGTGGCTTGCAGAAGGGACATTACGGTTCATGATGAGGGGTTCGAAGATGGCATCAAACTAAACCCATACGTGCATCATGATCACCAATCGCGCTGGAGCCGCAACGCTGCGTTTGGACTTTAGGGCTCTGCTCAGGCTTCGTGTTCTGGGATGTGGTAGATATTTGCTATCCAGCGGCACGCCGACACTGATCCGAAATATCGGACCGGTTCCGTTCCATGGAACTCAAGATGCAGTTGCCTAAACCTGGAATCTGGCTCTCAAACGCACGCACTGCAACGGCACGTCCGTATGCCTGAGGCTGCGGCGCCGATGGGTGTCAAGAATCGAAGGATGACCTAACAGGCGTAAACAAACGTTGCGCGAAACATCCTCAACATGGCCTTGACACTTCCTGCAGAAGCGTGAGAACGATGCTAGTTGCACATGGAAGACACAGCATATGCCCACGGAGGACATCGTTGGGTACGCATTACGTGCTGTTCTACTGTAGGTTTCAAGAGGCAAAGAAAGAAAGCCGACTGTGTTGCCAGAAAGACTTCAACGTCCTCTAACGACTAAACTGAACATCGGCAGACCTGGAGACCACGGTCTTCGGTGACTGCTAGTGTCGTCGCGGCTGCAGGGTTGTCAACTGAGCCCGCTACATAACTTACATAACTGCAGGGATGTTTCCGGTGCGGGCACTGAAAAGGATCGAGAGAATTCGCCAACAATGTATATCTCTATATATCAGAACTCGTGACCTGTGCCTGAAAACACTGACTCTCGTGTGCTTTCAAGGAAACCGACGGCCAAGGCAAAGATCATGAACTCCGATGGTGCCTGGCTCCAATGTTTGGGCCAGTTTGTGCGTTGTTTTTTGTGATAGTGTATTTGTGCTTGTGCGTGCGCGTGTGCGTGTGGGTGTGGGTGCGGGTGCGGGCGCGGGCGCGGGTGCGGGTGTGGGTGTGCGTGCGCATGCGCGTGTGGGTGTGGTGGGCGTGGGCGTAATTTGTGCTGGTTCGTTGCTTGGTGGGTCCGTCGGTCAGGTGTTTGGGCTGCTGGCGGGGTTGAGTTACTTATCTCGCTGTTTGCATGCATGTCTGTTGGCATGCATGCTTATCTGTCTAGTAGATGGGTACCATTACCGAAAGCTCGCCTGCGAAACTGCCGCCCCATGCCGCCCCTTAGCTCCTAGCCTTCCAAACCTCCTGCGACGCTGCTCCCCACTAAACGAGCTCAATCTAGCCCAAGCCAACCTACTTGCCACAAGCAATCCCAAACAAAAAACCACAAGGGGCAGGATGATTAACTCGTACGGCCTCGTTGCTGGCAAGTGCAGCACGGACGCTTGGAAGCAGCCGGATGCCCATCCTCGGCGAGCGAATCGAGCTCCAAGGCCAGCAAACCTACGTACTGTCTAGAGGTACTGAAATATATATATATATATATATATATATATATATAGTGTTCAGTGCGTCCACAATGCCTCTTCTTCAGATCTTGTTGTGGCCCGCATTACCCAACCGGCATAGTACATTGCAGTTGCGTGAAGTGATTCAGCCGCCAAAGCTTCGCGAAAGAACTCCCTGGGCAATGATCTTGGACGTGCAAGGGCTTCGGCACTTGCTTAACTTTGGATGGGGATATTACACTAAAAAAGAAATAGTTAAGAAGGAACCCCCAAAACTCTATGCCAGTTGCCGGGCGCCAATTTGCACTGAGCAGCTTCTGAGATGCATTCTGGCAAACGAAGAAGCACCTCATCGCAAAGGAACATCGTGACTTGGACACTGGGTGCATTAAAACCGAAGTAACCCGGCCGTAGCATTAGCATTGACGAGAGTATATAGTAACCAGAATACCTCTTTCAATGCTAAGTCAAGGCATAGTACAAGCAATTGATCGCTCACAACAGCAGCAGGAATATTATTATTATTATTATTATTACTACTACTACTACTACTACTACTACTACTACTACTACTACTACTACTACTACTACTACTACTACTACTACTACACACAACTGTCTTACGCAATCGGCGGAAAGGCGGGAAGAAGGCTCCCGACTCCATCGAGGTCAAAGTTCCGGCAAGAGTTTACAATAGTTTACAATACAAGACCGATCCCCATGCAAGGCTAAAGGCTGGATGTCGTTCACCCGCCTGCTACTTGCGGCATATTTTACTACATATTTTTAATGAGGGACCCAAAAATAGTGCAGGTAATTATTAAAGCCCCTATACTGTTTAAGCGCAGGGATGTCTGCACAGCCACTGCCGTCTGGCAACACATAACAAAACCCTGTCCCGAAGGACAAGCCACGCAACCACCAGCCTGCTCAGACAGGCGAACATCCAAAGCCGAAATACTGTTCGTATAGGATCTTCACCTATGAATGACCCGTCATTTGCAGAGACTCCCAGGTGCGCGGTGCAATGCTTCTGTGGCCGGGCCCTGTGCTCTAGCCCGAAGTGAGGATGCTGAATCCGAGCCATCCACCTGCAGCTTCCAGGCAATGATACAAGGGGTGGCGGTTTGGGGGGTTACGCCCTCGGCAAACGTATGGGGAGGCTGGATAATCAGCACAGAAATAATCATCATCACATCCCGGTGCTTGATAGCAGCTGCAGGCACTAATTAAACGGTTCTATGCCACCGGTTCAAAAGGCCTGAAAAGTCTGTCGCAATTGCTCCCGAAAGCCACAGGTTACATCGTCAAGCGGAGCTTAAAACTGCTAGCAAAAGAAATCTGTAAGGCTCATGTCTTCATGGTTCCCCTTATATCTGGCCACAGCATCGAGCGCGAACATTCCACCATGAATGCTGCCTAAAGCGACGGGCGCTTCGCGGAACCTGGCTGCTGTCTATGAGACTCTTAACGAAACGAAAAACCATTACTGCCTGTATCCCTCAACCCTAGCGAATAGTAGGTTATGACGCCTTAACTAGAGGGTATAACCCTTACGACAGTATACTTTTATGGATCTCCGGGTTTAGACAAAACCCTAAACTCTTTATTCTATGCCTTGAACCATGAACTCCTAGAGAGAGAGAGAGAGAGAAAGAGAGAGAGAGAGAGTCAGCCAGGTCTCTAAGCATCAACCACCAAGGAGCCCTAGTTTGGGGTTTAGTGCCATAGAGAGGTAAAGACCCTTGATTTCGAGGCCCCGGCTCGGAGAAGACCGGCCTCGTTTGAGTCTGGGAGCTCTTTTCGTGCTACCCTTCATCCTACCTAGCCGGCACGAGCCCGCATTGCAGGGCAACTCCGAAGAACTGGGGACTACTTATCCATAGTCTCGCAGGTTTCGGGTTTATAGGGGTTTAGGGTGTAGGACTGAAGAGCACAATCTTTATCTGCGGTTCAACCCTAGATTACTCTCAGGGAAGCGCATCAGGATGCGAGATGGAGGTCCTCTTGCGTCGACTACGATACGGGCCTCAGTAATTAGAATAGGGTTTTGGGGCCCATTATGCTACAATTAAATATAAGAAGGAACCCCCAAATAGTATGGGTAATTATTTAGGCCTTTATAGGCCTCTATACCATAGAACCCTACTATAGATCCCCTATAGGCCCCTTTCCTTTTTAGGAACCCTATTCTAATTATTACAAGCCCCTATAATGCTTCTTGAAGCCCCTCAGTCTGAGGATTCTTCGACCCGGGCTCTGGCCGCAACTTCTGTCGAAGACCCCAGGAGCTGAAGGGTTCAGGGTTTAGGGTTTAAGAGTTTCGGCGCTCACACTCGGACAATCCAGGCGAGGCATGTAGGTTCGGAGTCATACTAAGTGAGACGTCACTAGGAGGAGGTGTCAGTACAAACATTCACAGCTAAAAACAGATGAAGTGACTGTATCCTGCGGACCCATCCTCTGTCCAAGATCTTGAGCTGAAAAGCACAATAGATAAAACAAGATCTTGAACTGACGATGACAGATCACCGCCATGGCGATACACAAATTAAGAACACACACAGAACAGCGACGCCCTGCGATCTGTTGGTTCATCTGTACGAAGAACCAAATGCCAGCATTTACCGACTGAGGCGCAACCAATTAGTCGCACCTAACCAAAAGTTACAGTATGTGCCTCAAACTAAGTACTGTATAAGTTGACCGGTGAAACATGCGGACTATGTGGGACAGAGCAACTTCTTCAAGCATTCATGCATTGACTGTGTACATGCAAGCAGTTATGAATTACGAATTATGATGCAAGCAGTTTCGCGCATGCAGTATTCCACCTTACGAGTCTGTCAGAAACGGCAAACACTCGTTGCAGCATTTCGGGCTACATGCATTGTTTCTTGCATCTGCTGGTCAAGTCGTGTTCCAGTTTCTGTGCGTTCCGCCACATGCCATGTGGGTGGCACATTTGCAAGCCCGCAGGATGTCCATGTACCTCACAATATGCCAGGGTACTAAATGCAGATCGTTGTGCTCCCACCGCTGCCAGATTCCAGCATCGATGCATGCAGTCATGCACAAATAAATTCCTCCTGACATATTGCCCCATCTCTGCCATTCAATGTTGCCTCTTTCATCTTGGGTTATATCCCAACACAGCATATAGTGGTCAGAGCTCAGCTGTAAGCACCAACCAACCAGCAAGACGTCTCATCACATGCCAGGCCCATGCAGTATACCAAATTCCGTGGCCCGACGCATGCAATACTGCGTAAATTCAGGACCCCAGTTGCCATACCAGCATTCGTCATTCCACATGACTGTCGCCAGGGGAACTTCAGGTCCATGCAGTATCACCGACCCCGCCATGCAGAGATGCACCAAGTGGCGGTTGCAGTAACCATGGCACGCGGTCGCAGGTTAGTGGTTTGGTTAAAATGTAGATACAACTAGTCAACATAGAGCGTGTTCGGGAGCCTTTGGGGAATAGATCGAGAACATATGTTCATGCTATATTAGCCC